ATTGTACGAATTTTGTTTAGTTGTATTATTATTTTATTTACAGTATATGATATGTTATTACCAAACACTTTATATTTTAAGAGTTAAGATAATCCAAAAATAGGAATTTGAAAGAATTATTTTGCGTCATAAAATGTTGGCTATATTGACTAGTTCAGCTGTAGAACAAGAGATGTGGGGGAGCGAAGTCCTTCGCGGGTCTCTGATCAACCAATAGCGAAAACCCTAACCGAACTAAAATCTTGCGTACGCTACTGTGCATGCCTGTCTGCCTCCTTGCCCACACGGTCACACATGTGACGAACGCGTTCGGCCGTCAACTGTCCGTGGATCTGAATTTTATACCGAACGAAAAATCATCTCGACTTCGGGCGCTGAACGGTGACAAATTCATGGTCAATTTGAAATCGATGTCGCATAGCTGTTTTTTCGTGCGTCGCGAACACATGTTCGAATTTTCTTTTTCGGTTCACGTGTCTTCGAAACGGCAACCGTCGGACAGCGCGGAAAACCTATAGTGCACATGACCTAACCGTAAACGCCCGGCGCGCGTTATTATTATGCGTGCTCGGACGGAGAACGTAAAACTACTATTTTTCTATTCGCTTCGGAAGTAACGAAAATTGAATGTAAACACATTCGAGTTACGCTTCATGAACTAACTGTTTATCAAATTTCATACGGCCGACAAATCCTGTTGGGACGTTCGTACTCATCGTACGTACTCCCGTAGAGCATAGCGGATTTCAAATAAATTACGACGAAACGTCATCTCACATGTAGTACAAAACTTGAAATCGTAACACGTATTTGCGATAATCGTCAACAGAAAATAGGGTTCTAAAGGCGGTGATGGATGATCTGTCATAAATTGAAAATTAACATCAAATGAGAGATTCCACATCATTCCGTGTAAAAATGACTCTTGATGTGTACATTTTATTAGTTCATTTAATTTATGTTTAATTATTTATTGTAACTGAAAATCAGAGGAAAATAAATTACGCTATTTGAGCTTTTCCTTATAACTTTTATATTATTTGATTATTTATTCAAATAATGTAAGATATAATATTTAAGAAATTTAAAAAAAAATAAATAAAATAATTTCCATAATACAATTATATACAATATATATATGTATATATATTTTTAATGATTTTTTTGGGCAAAGCGACTAGTTGTATAAATATTAATTCATCAAAGTCAAATAAATAAATAAAAAAAGTATTAAAAAAATGTTACTTTATAAATATTAACATTATTAATATGTACACCATAACACATAAGATGAAACTCAAAATGAAACAAAAATTCAAAATTTTTGAAAAGCAAAAGTTTAAGTACAAGGAATATTAATAACGTCTCGCCAAAATGTGGAAATACTAATCATTCATTAAGCAGTTTAGCCTTGTAAATATTCATTATGCACCTATAGTTCTTATTTTATAAACAATAAATATATTTGACCAGTTAACATATTAACTTAAGAAATACTAAAACTTTGTTATTGGAGTATCAATTATAATGCACTATTATTTATCATACCTAGATACTCCTATTACGAAATTTGTTTGTTAGAAAGTAGATACATTTGTATATACAACTATGCTTAAGTTAACATTGATTTAATACATGGATAAAAACATATATTACATATAGTGATATTATAATTATTTTAACAAAAAAAAAAAAACCAAACAAAATCGACTATTATACAATAAAAAAAACATTCTTTCATTGTTCTGTTGAGGAAATTGTTAACTTAGCTGACACGATTGTTTTTGTGACACCAGTCGAAACGAAACTTTCTTTATTTTATTATAACTCATAATATATACCTAATACTAATTGGTACCTATTATTTTTCAAATAATTTAAAGCTCATATAAAAAGTAACCAGTTTAAAATATAATTGTTGCATCAATATTAATATATGAGCAACTAATTCAAATGTTTCCACATACTTGGGATGTTAATTAAAAATAAATTTACTGCGGAAACTATTTCTTATATTTGAGTGAAAAAAGAATGTTAGTACGTGCGATTTGTGATTTAAACCAATGTCATGTATGTCTTATTAAAGTGTTAAAGTACAAATATATAAATATGTACTTAAGTTAATTTCGTAAGTACTTATTAAATAATTTAAGTATTTCAACGATAAAGATTACATGAAGAAATTTGATTCGATATACAAAAAAATTAATTTTCTTTATTTATTTACAATATTATTTTATTACGGGCTGTGTCGTATTACATAGTGTGAAAATGTATACATAATATTGGTTACATTGTTTGTTATTAAATATGTATAAATTAATTTAACTACTATTATTTAACTTAACATATATATAATGAAATAATTACAAATTAATATTATATAAATATTAAACAAAATCAAATATATAAGTATTACTTGCGTTCATCAAAATATTATGGGGAGAACTTAAAATATAATTTATATTTGAGAAAATTGGGTAAAATGACAAAGGGTTTCTTGAATTAAGATTGTTTATTTTAAAATTAATTAAAGACAGCAGTTCTGGACAATTAATAACACCAGTTAATAATTTATGTAAAAGTTTTGATAGCAGATGTAAACGACTATTAGTTTATGAAGTAAGATTAAGAAAGATTAAAACAACGTCATAATAACTATGGGAATGCCAAAAAATATTAAATTTAAAAGAAACAAATCGTAAAAAAATATTTTGAACAGATTCTACTTTGTTTAATTGTGTTATTTAACCAGACTAAAGGACAGTATTCTAAATTAGAACGAACTAAAGAGCAATAAAGTAATTTCAGAGAAATAGGATCTGAAAAAGAGCCACAAGTACGCTTGATGAAACCTATAATTCGCATAGCTTTATTTTTTATCATTTCTCAGTGAAGAGAAAAATGTAATTTAGTATCGAAAATTATTCCCAGGTCTTTAAAATGAGAAACGAATTCTATTTTGTAATCAGATATATAATATTAAAAGTTGATTGGATTTTTTTACTAGGTAAAAGTGCATAAACTTACATTTATTAATATTTAAAGATAAATTGTTTAAATTACACCACTTTATTAAGTTGTTGTTATCAGATTGTAAATTAATTGCGTCTTGTTCTGTTTTGATTATCTTTATTAATTTAGGCTCGTCAGTGAAGAGAAGAATTTCGGAGTTTTTAATAGCTTTAAGAAGGTCGTTTATAAATATATTAAAAAGTAAAGTGGACAGGTGGTCTCCTTGGGGAACACCAGAAGGGACGTGGAATTGGGCAGATTGGAAATTAAGATGTTTAACAATTTGTTTACGGTTAGAAAGAAATGATTGGAACCAATGAAGTAAAGAACCAGAGAAACCGAATGCTTGTAATTTCTTTACTAGAATTTAATGATTTACTCTATCAAATGCCTTGGAAAAATCAGTGTAAATAATATCTGTTTGCACGTTTGATTTGAAAGATTGAATGATTATATTTTTAGTGATTGATAGATTAAGACAGGTCGATAAAGAATACACAAAGGAATTTGATTGAATATAAAAAAAAAAAGAATTTTACATCTTCTAATAAAAAAAAAAAAACCACAAAAGTTCCAGAATAAATAAATAATACCAGTATTATTAAAGGGTTGATATCTGTTAATTCTCCATTTGAAGTGTAGGAATGAAGCGGTATGCTTAATTAGAAAATTACATTTTTTTTAAATGTTTTTAAATGATTTAAGCTTAATAACAATTATGACCGAATAATATAACAAATATGTTTAATTAAGAACTGATTTTAATATCATTCATACATACTCTTACGTATTAATTATCAGATCATTTAAATAAAACGTGTACGTAACTATGAATAAAATTAAAAATATGAAATATCTAACAGTTATAGTGCTATATTGTTATGTATGTAATCATTATATAATTGTAAAACCATGTTGGATTGTATAAATAACCGATAAAAGCTACACGGGTACTGTTTACAAACAATTATTTATCTTTTAGGATGATTAAAAAATCAATAGTAATTATTAATACTAAGTTTTATCAAATATTTTAATATTATAGTAAAAAAATGATGTTATAGTAATGGATCGAATGGAGGCAATCGGGTTGTGTTCAATTGCCACGTTATAATCTGTATATATAAAATACATTCCTACAGATTTCATATGCTTATACTTAATGCATAGTTAAAAACATTTGAATGTATCAAACTATGTACAGATATTTATTACATGATTACATTCAGTTAAACAATTTATACTTTTATCGTCAAATCTAAACATCTTTATAAATAGGTAATTTGTCACATTAACATTGTAAATTTATGATTTGTATTTTCCAGTCCAAATGTATACGTTATGAATATGATATATCCATCCACGACAAATTGATGTTGAATTGTATTCGTTTTCATGATTGAAAATCCTTTTGTTAATAATTGTAGACACTTTCGTGATTGGTGTGTCGAATTTATAATTCAAAACATGTTTAAAAATTACGTACCATTTGGTGGTACCAAATACGTACGATGATTTTAAGTTTCGATATAGAAATAGTGTACGGCTTCCGACAGCAGGGCACTAGACGTACACTGACGAATTATTGGTCGCAACTAAACAAATTATACCTTAATAGCTCCTCTTTTACCCGCAGTAAAAGCGTTAAAAATTACTAAACGTATGCGCGAATATAAATGCTATTATATTATGCGCGCGACATGAATTCGCGCGTACGTGCACGTATCTTATAAGTAATCATCTATACTGCATGGATGCTAAGCATAGTTAGAAAATACTTTCGGTGGTAAATAAATCACTACAAATTTATAGGGTCACTAAAACAACAACCTCTAATCCGTACAAAAAAAAAAAAAAAAAAACACTTTCGGTCGCAAATGAATCACTACTGATAGCACATAGAGTCACCAAAATAAAATGTGCGAAAAAATACTTCGACAAGTGTAAAATGGTTTATCGATTATGTATAGTACATTTCATTTTACCTTGTACAGCATGGTCTTGATCGTCTTATGAATTGAATATTATCTCATTTGTCCATTCGGTACGAGTACCGGATTAACTTGTGTATTTCTGTCAGGTGTGTAGACCTCGAACGTTGTTGGAAAGCTTGTTTCGCAAAAAAAGGGGAACAAAAATGATCAGTGGAACGACGCCCGGAAGGACGTAAGTATGCGTGAACGGTTGAAAAAAACTACCGAAATTTTCGTACAACGCGATATCGAGCGGACAAAAAAAAAACCCCCGTTGAAAACTCGACGAATCTGACGAGCACGTTATCGACTATGTCCTGGAACAGCCGTAGGTACGTTCTCGAACACAAGCCAAACACCGGCACGCGACTGATTTTAATATCGTTTACTATATAAGAGCCCATCTTTCCACCATGCTTCACTGGACCGTGAAAGATTTCCCTACCACGCGGGTTGCTCTAGTTTTCAGTGCTCGGCGCATTATTATTACTCGGAGAGAGATAACCGGATTTCGGCTAATAAGTAACGAGGAAGGTACACAGAAATGTCACCGAACAATGTTGACGACGGTGATCGCGACGATAACGATGACGATGATGATGATGATGATAATGATGAGGATATTGACAACAAAAGCGTATCCGTGCACACGTCTGTGCACGTGCGTATGATGTGTGATTGTGATTTGCATAATATTTTTACGGGACAATAAAAATGTGCGCACAATGGTGGTTGCGACCGCGCTCTGCTTTTATTGTTTTTAAACAGGAGGCACTCGATATGAATAAGACTTTATTATTTATTGTTATAAGCGGTACATTGTGTTTTATTATTTTATTTCTTCGTAATTACTGTTTAATCAGTATGAATCCGATAACATACGTTGCGCACATTAATGATAATTAACGAGGAGAATTTCGCGGACGGACTGTTTGGAAATTTACGCGAACGCCGCGACGTGTGTAACGGTGACGTAACGTCCGGAAAAGTCGTGCCTCGCCGTAATAAATATTATTTTATCGTAATAATGTAACACAAATGCATTGTCTATAGAGCGGGTGCGAAATAAAATGCGCACTATAATATAGTGTTATGTTATGCGCTCGTAAATGAAATTAAGCAACGCGTTCTGCACATCAGATTATTATTGTTATTACATATACCTAATGCGAGCATATTCTAATCGACGTTGCACTATTAGTATGATTCCGGTTGGGAATCCGACAGACTTGAGTAAAATATTTTTTTTAAGGATTTTGGGTACATACTTCGAGTAGGTAATCAAAAAAAAAAAAAAATAAATAAAAAAAAAAATTCAACATTCACATTCGAATAATTTATGATAAATAATATTCCCCGAGAATTTGAAATACTTCGCAGAAAGAATACCAAATATATTTAGAATATTTTTTTATTTTTTTCTGTAGTTATCGATACCAAAAATAATAATTCAAATTTTATTAAATCATTAATATTTTCAATTCGATGTTTATGGGTGAACAGAATAAAATAATTGATAACATACACACATATATTAGTTATAAATGATATCAATTAAAATTGTAATATTGTGATCATTTAAAAATTAAATTCGGTAAGTATGTAAATTTTTTTATAAAACTTAATAATGAACAATGATAGATACTCGCAATTGATTTTAGTATTGAAATTAAATACTATATTTGGTTACAGTCAGTGGTTGAATTGGAAAAAAAAATAAAGGTGGACTCTAAATGTAGCTGAACAATTAGCGTTCCAAAGCAAATTAATCTAAAAAAAACCGTGGGGGACTTTGTCCCCCCCACCACCTAAATGCATCTACAATATAAATAATTAAATATATCTAATGATTAACACAGATATCTATAACAAATAATAAACAATACTAATAGGTATTTATTTGTATTAATTCTATCAACACAGCAACACGTCTAGCAAATTTAAAATCTAAAATGTAAATATATAGCCACATGATAAAATTAATTAATCAATTAACTTTCAATTTAAAATAATTCATGTATTTTACTGTTGCCTACAAAAAGTAAATATTAAATTTATAGATTATAAATGTTACTCTTTAATTAGTATATTAATTTTTTTTTGTCAATATTAATTTTAATATTTGAAGTTTAATATTAGTCAAATAATTTATTTCATCCCGTCACATTATTTTTAGGACTAAGATTTGCTGAGAGTTAAATAATAATTATTTTTATCATGTATGATAAAATGTATGACCAAAAAAATTTAATGAACTTTTAACTGTATTTATTAACTTTTTTTTTAGGTAGGTACTAGGTACTTAAGTAAAAAGGGCTAATAACTTTTTTTGGAAAATCAAGTTTTTTTTATAAATTTTATCAAATTACAAAAAAATAAAAATTGCCGGGACTGACGTTCATTGATAATCAGATTGTACATCAGTTTTTCTAATAAATTTTATTTCTACTTTTTTTTTTTTTTTAAGGCGGGATTTATGAGGGTGGATTATCAAAAAAAAATAAAAGTACACCGGTAAGAGGAATCTGCGCACGTCTATGATTTATTATTAAATTAAAGTGTTTTAATTACCTTGGTTATTGTTTTTCTTTTTATTGAAAAAGTCCGATATGGACAATTTTTGACGTTTATTCATGTTTATTTGTTTATTGCTGACGTGACATGTAGGACTGTAGGAGTGCGGTTGAGGTGTTTACTATTTTCAACAAAATTACAATTTATAAATTACATACGGGAGTACGCGACAAGCTAACATAATACTGATTACTCATTCGTGGCGCACCTCGTTTCCAAATAAAATATAAATAATATTTAATTTTCCTTGAAAAGGATCACCATTTGTTAATCGTCGATAACTAAAACAACGGACGGATTCTCAAAATACGGAGTCAATATATTATTATTGTCAATGGTTTACTAAGGATCGTTATATCGGTACACCCAGGGAAGTTTTCGTAATAATTATATTTTTAGCAATTTAGCAGCTTATACCACGAATACGCAGTGGAAACACTTGAAACGTGTTACATAAATTATATAACATTATTATATATTTTATTATTGCGTTCCTAGTATACATATGTGCTAATAATAATGAACAGATTACGAACTAATACCAAAAATTAAATAAAATATTAATCGTTTCCAATTTTTTTTCATATTTATTTAATTTTTCTTAGAAACAAATTCATATTCATGTAATTGTTGAAGGACGCTGCGTCCCCTGCGTTCCTTGATGAATTAAATTAAGGGGTACGCTATAATATGAAGAAAAATGAAGAGTAGCTCAGACCCTCTGCGTCCCCCCCCCAATTCAACCACTGGTTACAGTTATAATACGAGTACAATAGTTAGTATTTGTATACTAGATGTAACCAAAAGAACTGACCGATGTATAACCTACACATGTGCTCACTTGTGTTTTTATTAAAATTATATTTATTTTAAATATTAAACTAACAAAAATCATATAATATCCAAGTAAAAAATAAAAATACTCAAAAATATAAAACAATAAAAGATATTACATAGTTAATTATAATTAATTAATTAAATTATTTAAGTAAATTATTTCTATTGCATTCTATATATGTATAAACTAATAAATAAATAATATATTACACTTTAACATTAATACATTTTCAACATTTTTATCATAATACCTATTTATTTATTTTTTGACTGCAGTACTGCTAGTGAATTGTGTATTAAATTTAAAAACACATTTTTAAATGTTAGTATTTCAAAAAATCTAAATTTTAGATTTTTTTCAGAACTTTTTAATAAAAAATTAAACATTTTTTGCTCTATGGAAAGATTTACTTTTCGAGTGCATGTAAACTCTGTTACAAGTACCTTTTTTTACTGTAAACTCCGGCAGAAAAAAGAAACAGGTAAAATTGAGTTCATGTAAACTCCGTCAGTGAAGAAAATCAAGTAGTAGTATAAAATTAATATGATATATTATTAAAAAAAAATTATAATATAATATAATATCATATCGTTGACATTAAATATTTAAATCATATTAAAAAAAAGCATAATAAATAATCGTTATACCTAATAATCCAAGTATATATGTTTATGTCATGTATGTAAACTAAAATTATGTAATACAAATTGTAAATATTCTAAGTCTTGTATTACTCCATAAGTGTACCAATTTATAGTATCCTGAAACACTGTAATTTTTTTTTCGATTTTTTTAGCTTATTTACTTGAGATATGCCATTTAGTTTGATATAAGTATGGGTTTGAAATTCGGTAAGAACTTTACTAAAAATATGAACATTCAATTGACTTTTATAAAATTAATTTTATAGATGACCATGAAAGGATTCACAGGCAAAACACAATAAAAACTGGCAGAATTATATATACCCATTACAGGTAAGAAAAAAAATGACGGAGTTTACATTAGACCTTTTATTACCTTTCTACTCAACCGATATTCTGGCGGAGTTTACAATCGCCCCTATTTTCAATTTGTTTTCAGATCAGTAAAAAATTCTTTGTATCATCACTTATATTATTATCTGATACCTCAGTTTCGGATATTTGATTAGGTATTTGGTTTGATTTGATATTTGATTTATTTGACAGGTATTTGATTGTTTAAACATTTTCGGGCAAAAAATCTTCAAAAAATGATGATGCCTTATATTTTTTACTAACATTGGTTAGCCAGATAGGTTTAAAAAAAGTATGAGAAGCAGTTGCAGACAATAAAAGCGGAATATTTCTATATATATATATCGTTCAGATACGGTCTTTTGATTTTGAATACAAAAAGTTGTTTTACGTTAACTTAATATTTTTTGGGAACTATTAACGTGTAAGTATTTAGAAAAAATAATAACCGCTAACCACGAATTGAAAGTTAAAGACTTTATTTTTTCAAATCGAAGTGAAATACAATTTATTAAAAACGGTTGCTCCTTAAGTTTGACAGTAATTAAAAGAAAATATTGAATCATTCAAAAAAATGGACTTCTTTAAAATAATGATATCGATAATTGGTTATCACATTATAATAGCAACAGAATAAAATGCTCACGCGCTATACAAACAACCAGCACTAAGCTTTTTCATTTATATAAGTTACTTTTCTTATGCATTAGGATACTCTAGCATTTTTAAATTGAATGGTATACTTAGTGATGGATAATTATCGGAGTATTATGTAAACCACCAATTTTTTTTTTTTTTTTTAAGAGACTAAATTTATGACAAAATACTTGTTTACAGTATTTATACTAAGTCTGCATTCCATTGAATTATATGACACTTTTAAAGGTAACAACAAAAACAATTATCTTATGTAAAAATATTTAAATAATTGAAAAAATACATAATGTAGAAACCAAAACTTTCTAGCTTCACTCAGATTTAAAATGGAAATGTTCTACATGACGCATCGACATAATAATGCTATACGAGAAACAATAGGTAGTTGAAATACATTTGAAAATAACAAAAACTTATTATATTCAGTAAATAGTTTTCAAATAAGGAAGTGGTATAAATACTTAAAAACATTATAATTTTAGTAAAATTTCTGTACAAGAGAAATGATTAAGTGTATTACGATTTACCAGTATTTGAATAATCTTAAGCATGACGATATAAAGATTTAATCACAGATCCTTAAATATTATTGAGATGTACGTAGCAGGTTCGGTGTGAACAATAAAATATCCAAAACCTAAGTACTATTATGGACTATTGCCAAAATAATGGCAAATATTATTTCGAGTTTTTAGAAAAATTTTACCGTTGGAAAAATAACACTAATTATTGTGAAACCAGTAAGTTACTTACTTAATTCAGAATAAAATGTGAAATTCTTGTAATAGGTAATAGTCATAATAATCTATCGTTAAAATCTATAGATGAATCGACCGGTGTTAAAGAGGGCTAATCCTCTTTTCATTTGGGACGTTACTTTATCTACACAAAAAGTATTTGTTCTATAATAATGTTATAATAAAATTGTTTTGGCTGAGACATTTAATATCTGGCATTCATTAATCTTATTTAAAAAAAAAAAGTTTCCGCAAAAAATTATTGAAGTTCCTCCAAGGGTTCGACGGGTAAAAGTTGAGAAACACTGATTTAAGCCATAAGATGATGTAAAATTTGTATCATCTTTACATTTTCAGTTAAAGTATCAATGAAAATGTATTACATTTTCCCTCTTATCATAGTTCTATAGATCAATGTGGTTCCTAAACTTTGAGGCGTACCTCCCTTAGGAGGTGGAAGCATTTAATGGGAAAGACATCAACTAAATATTTATTTTGTGTATTACACTAACATATATTTATTTTAAGATCGACAATAATTTGTCTATATTTAAATAATAAAATATTTTGTATACTTATTTGTTGGAGGATTCATTAAGTTTTTTTTAGTTAATTTTGGAATTGGCTGACTCAAAAAAGTTGGGGAACTGGATAATAATCATACATTCAAGTAATAATAATATAAAAATGATAAAAACTACAGTAATCATAGTTTAACAATACAAACAATGTAAACAGTTTTATCTTAAATTAATTTTTTTATTTTAAAATAAGTTTAATAAGTTTAGGTATATATTACTAACAATCCATACTTTCCTCCAGTTCTGCCATTGATAGGTCATCCATAACTGAAGAATTGACTAGAGCTGTAATATATTATAATTAGATTTGACTAACAATAAAATATCATAAAATATAAAAATAACTCACAATCATTAAGAAAAGATTCTCCATTATGATTAGATTCTTCATTAGTACGCCCTTTTAATTTCTGACTTTCTTCAAAGAATTGATTCGGGTGGTTTATAGCTGTAGAACGAGGTGATATACCATGTTTTGCTTCAAAATACTTAGTACAGGCAATTTGATAATGACCGTTTTGAGAAAGATTAAGGATTTCTTGAATACCTTAACATGACAATATAAAATTAAAATGTAAATATAATTGACAGCTAATACTGTCCATACTTTGAGCTGAAATATTTGTAGTCTCGAGTAATTGTTTCAATGCTTGACTACTGGTGTGCTTATATGGACAACCATGATACTCATCAATGCCTACTGCACCCATAATTATTTTCATACAACTGTATGGTGTGTAGTTGGTTTTTTTACCTTCTTTGCCGTAATTATGTTTTATATTGTAACTATACTGTTTGTCAAACTAAATATAAAATAATATAAATATTTGGTATTATTATAAAATCATTATTAAACTTTTATAAAATTTTTACTTTATCTGCATCCATTTTTTTAGTGAATTCTGATTTCCAAAATACCAATGCTTCTTCGAGAGACAAACCAGCTCCTTTTAAAAATAAACCATACTGTTGACGAGCTTGATGTTTTAAATGATGTTCACTTCTCAAATTTACATGTAAACGTTTCATGCATAAAGGAAATGAATCCTTGGATGCCTAGAGTTTAAAAAATTAAAAAAAATCATAAGTTTTATTACATTAATTTGTTTTTAAATATAGATATTTTAGAAAATCAAATATTATGTTTATTTCTCTATAAAATACTTAAACTATGAAATGAATCTTATATGAGAACATCATAATTTAATTATTTTTTACATGAAAAAATGAATGCTATGGCATTATTTATTCAATTAAATTATTTCTATTTATTGGTATAATATATTTTCAATTATATAATAATATATCTCACATGATCAATGGTACTAATAGATAATGTAGACATGTTTTCTGCAACAGAGTAATTTTTACCCATGTATGATTGATGTAAGTATTTAATAAAAGCTCCAAATCGTTCATCTTCACATATGACACTGAATTTTTGAAAACATTTCTAAATCATAAAAATATTACATAATAAGTTATACCATTCATCAAAAATAAATTAATGACATAAATAATAGCATGTTAATAAATTTAATTATTACAAACAGACAATATTTTAAAGGAAACAATTCAATAAGATATATTAATAAATATAAAATTTAAAATAAAACTCACAATAAGTTCTTGGGAAAGCTCAGATCGAAATGTTTGACAAATTCCTGAAATAACATCATTTTGTACGACATAAGCAAATCCATCGCTTAAGAAAACTTTCCTATTACGGACTAAATCTAACACTTGTGTCCAATGAACTTTAAAGTATTCATTAGTACTTCCAGAAGTTGTAAAAGAACGCATATTTTCAGTCAATATATTTTGTTCTTCTTCATTAACCTAAAAATCATTGATTAAACATACGTCATTAAAGTTGATTTTTATTGATATAATTTAATTATTAATTATGATTACAAAATATTTTTCGTTTTTTAGTTAACAAATATATTAATATTTATGATTTGTTATAATAGGTAATCAAGCTAAATGAATTGACTAGGTGAAGACACTACAATCTGAAATGATGTAGAAATTTAACTTGTAATCTTGATATATGATTGGATATGCAAAACTTGAAATGATTACAACCATTTTGATATAATTAATAATATGTATACTGTAATTACATAATTTTGTAAATTATTTTGTTTAGTTTCATGATAAAATACTTCACTAAAATTGTTTTAATTATTTTTATTTTTTATTTCATTTTTCAACACAAGCCATTTTATAAAAATAATTTGTACTTTTGTAATTTGTATTTAATATTTTAACCAGATAATATTTAATAATACATTTTTTAAGTTTCCCACATTATTTTTTAGTAATAAAAAATATTGATATGCTTTTTTTTATTAATTATATTTTTTAAAAGGCATAACTTATAACTGAATCGAATTATTTTTGGAAATAGGTAAGTATATTTGTCAAGCATTGTGAAGCCTTTGTCTTCAAGAATGTATTCATTAACTAGTTTATAAAATTTAATATATTAATAAATATTTCCAAATAATAATAAAATAATATATAATAATATACTCAGTACTTACTGCAGAATAATTTGTGTTATTGTATGACAAAAATTTTAATTTCTCAGATTTTGATAGAAGTGACCAGCGTAATTTAAATAATTCTATTTCTCTGTTAATATACCATTTTCGCAACTCATCATTTTTACAATAAACAAGTCTAAGAATAAAATGTGAGCATAAATCTCTTTTTCTTGCTTCACAGTTTTCATTATAGTCTTTGTATACACCACCATTTATCTAGAAGAAATTATCTAATAAATAAACAAAATTATTTGTTTTCTTTATATTTATGATTATTGTAGTCAATAATTGTCACATAAACTTACATACACAATATAAATTTATGTAAATTCAACATAGATACAAATCCATTGTTTTTCAATGAATAGAATCGATAAATATACCACCTATATTTAAATGTACTATTATGAATAAACAAATAATTTACTCAAGTGATTATTTAAAATGTTTAGAAATAAATTCATAGTTAAATAATACAAATTTAGTGTTGACAAAAAAAGATACTCAAATAAAAATTAGTATCTACGAAGTTAAAATTCCAAAACATTATTTTAAAACTATTAAGTTACCAATTTAAACATGTGTTTAAGTCCTTCTTTTTTTATTTCTTGAAGTACTGATTTAATATAATCTTCATAGTTATTTGTATTTCCTTTCAAACTCAATTGTTCGAGGATTTGTAAAACTAAAGATAACATAGAATTAATAAATACAAATTAACTTAAAAAAAAATTTTGAGAGAAATAAAATTATATGAAGCATTGCTTTTCTTACCTTTCAGTCTTTCAATTGCCCATTCTTCAAATTCGTCCAAATTTATATCTAAATCAGGGATTTCACGATAAAGTTGCAGATCGTGATCATACTTATTTTTATCATCTGAAACTCCAAGACTTTTTCTACTCGGTGTAAAATTCATTGTAGGTATTCTTTAAAAATATGAAATAATATTATATTAATTACCTAAGCCTATTCAGAATTCAAAAACAATATATTTTGATGAAATTAAATTACTTAAGTTGCAAAAAAAGATTAACACAATTATGTTCACTGTTAGTGGTACGCGTATGAACAAAATTTAAAGAATATGTATTGATTTTTAGAAAAATAAATACTACGGTGTTGAAGTGTACTGATCGCAATTACTATAGTTCATTGATTATATGCGTATTGAATACGTACGTGACGACTATATACGATTCGATTCTGTTTTTTTTATCGGATATCAAACGAATAAAAAATGATTACATAGGAGTCGTACGAACCGGTTGCAAACGTGCTGAACACAAACCGAATGAAAACAGCAGTTCAGAGTACTCACCAAATAGATTCTCGTTGAGCCGTTGAAATGGTTTAACGACCGTTTGCCGGATATTCAGCGGGGACATTGACGGGAACTCGTAGAACAAGAAAAACTATGTGCGTGAAATGTAGGTTCCCGGAGTCCGTACGATTGCCAGTATCACTTTTGTCTGTATCGTATTTGGCGGGAAACGATAAAACAAGATTACAGACGAACGCGCGAGGAGTGTACCTCCACGAACCGCCTCCAAGGGTCAGCTGGGCGCGCGTGCGCGCACGTATTTTTTCCAACACGACTGTCAATTATCATTATTATTACATTGTAATCGTCTAAGCACACGCGTGATTTACGTTTTCCGCGATCGGCACTCGTACGCAACTGCAACTTCAATGTTTCTACGTTTGAATTGAACCATGTGTCCAAGGCCGGACTGGCCAGGCGGGATACTTCATTGGGAAATTAGGAGCTTCCCAGTGGGCCGCTTGTACTCGTTGGAAAGTATTTTTTCAGGTTTATCGGTTTAAGCTCTTTGTGTCGACAAACATTGACTTCCCCATTTTCTAACGCGATTGCATTAGAAACTGTCTAAAATTGAATGAACGGTCTTTTAATTTTTAATGATTATATGAAGTGTTCAAATTCTCAAAATAATATACAATCGTTTTATAAGAAAATATACGATTTTTTATGGTTGTCTTCACTATACCGTAGGTGGACATCGGGGAGGGGGCTTAGCCCACAAAAATATTTGAATAGCCTCTTTAAAATCTAAACTTTGTTAGAAATGTTATTTTTTGTTTTTATAATTATCTGTTCGTTTTTTTGAAATCGTAAAATAATAAATAATAAAATACTATTTACAATAGCATTAACAATACCAATTAGTTCGGCTACTAGCGAAAGAAGTTTCAGTGCAATGAAAAAAATAAAAACTTGGCTAAGGACATCATTTGATCAAGATAGGTTCAGCGATCTTTCAATACTATATGTATATTAAAAAAGATATATCGAAAAATATAAAAAGCGATGATATTTTGAGTATCTTTGCTAATACAAATAGTTATTTGCCATTAAAATAAAATACTAATTATTTTTAAAATATACGTTATTTAGTGTTTTTTTAATACAGTTTAAACATATCTATATTTTTAAGAGTAATAATTTTTACTTATGTATGGTTAGAGGGTGTGGGGGCGAAACCCCTGCGGATTATTTTACATTGAATTATTATAGCTTCCCCAAAAATTCAACCAAATGTCCGCCTACACATTATACCTTTGGTATATCTAAGTGGGCCGTTTTATTTTTTTCTTCTCGGTATCTAACCGACCCTACTGTGTCATTCACCAGTAGGCTTAGGGACTTCTAGCGTTTGCATACTTTTTTTAATTGTTAAATATAGCAGAGTGCAAAATAAATTCGTTTCTCGATGCTATGATATCAGATCTAAAATTTGAATATGCATATTTTTGCATATTTGATAAATTTTGCAGGAGAATGCATATTTTAACATTATTATGCTTATTTTGCATATTTTGACAAATTTTTCAAATTTATTATTTAAAATTAAAAACTATGGATACATATAACTTTATATACATATTTCAAACGACCGAAAAAAAATGTACTAAGAGGACTTAATACTTCCAGTAATATGCTATTTGCAAACTACCTCACATTTCTCGTTATAATTTTTGTTTAAGTATAAATAATACTATAAACCCGTATCGATCGTATCTGCATATCGACCGAATGTCGATAAAGATAATAGTTGATATAGAATAATTATTTATTTAGTTTTCAGTTCAGTCGATTATTATCTGTCGTTATTTTTGCGTCTCGCAACCACGCAACGTCGAATCATACATAAAACGTCGTACGTATTTTGTAACGTTGTGTAATGTCGAAAGTACAACAGTTTACGAGTAGCCGACTACAAAGTTTTGTTTTGGGGTTTAAAGATACATTTACATCCGATGGATACGTTTTATTCTGAGTACTATGTGGTCATTTTTTTTTTTTTTTTTTTTAATGCATATAAATGCATATTATAATGCATATTTTAATTACTATAGAAGTAAATTTGCTTGCATATCTGTGTATTTTTTAAAGCTATAAGTCCCTAAGTCTACTCATCAGTAATAATTAGGGCTCGAAATTTTGATTACCTTAAAATCATTAAAAAATGACCTAATAAAATTATAAATATTTGTTTTAAATTAATAAAAATACATTTCTTTAAAATATTTTACTTTATTTTACTATAATATTTTATATAAATTTATCAAAGCTTACAAATTACTCAAAATATGACATAAAAATGACAACATTAGTATAAGTATTATTTCGACTAGTAATCGTATAATATAATAATTTATATAGATAAAATAATAAAGTATACAAGAGAGAAAGACATATTTATTTATATATAATATAATTATTATATTATTAATAGTGTATTTTACATACCTATCAATTTTTTGTCTGTATATTGAGATGTTAAAACCCTTGTTGTATCAAACCAAACACTTCCCTTCAAGCTTTTCGTTTTTCTTTGCGGTCTGAAAACTTATCTGACGTCTTTTTCCATAAAACAAGTCTGTTTTCAATAAATAACCGAAATTAATAGCTGTCTAACCGACTATTCTGTTATACATCAATTTGAGGTGTCAAATTTGAGATGTAAATTTCAAACTCTTCCTCTGACGACACATTAATTGTTAATTCTTGATAATGACGAATGGACGAATATTGAAAAAAAAAAATACTAATCGGTCGCACGTTTAATTACTGCGTGTGTGTTCTCTATCTACCATTTTAATGCATTTCCACTGAGATTGCGCGGTATTTATACCGTGCGATAAGTTAAGGCGCACGCGACAGCTTCTGAAATGTCATGCATAAATTTTTGTTTTCTATTCAATTTAATATATTTTAACAAAATGCGCCGTAAATTTACGGCGCGGTAAAATAACACCCGTGTGTTGCCATTTTTCATAAATTACTTGTGGAGACTGCCATCTCCCAACATTGCACAACCGATCTATGGTACCGACATCAGTGTTTTTCGATTTTTTTTCTTCTCAGAAATTCTGGGTTTTTTTTTGTGGAATATATCAACACCGTCAGCTTTGCTATATTGTCCAATTAACCCTTTCCGTCATACATTTTTATTTTTAGAAAAAAATTTTTTTTTTTGACTATTTTAAATTAAACTTAAATTTAAAAAAATTTTAAAGTTTGTCCCAAACTGATCGGACAGCCTGATCCTGAGATATAATGCGTCCTCTCAAGAGGACAAGATGACATAAAGGTATTTATCTAAGTCAAATATAAAAATACGACAATATTTAAATACTTATAATACTTTAAGAATGTTTTATTAAGAAAATGTTTATATTATTAGTTAATAATTAATGAAATTAAAATTATAATACATTACAATATTACATGGACAAAATTTAAATAAATATATTTAAAATCATATTTTATTTAAAATGAAATGACTCAAAACAATTTTGCTTACGTGCTATGCATAGATTGACGTTGCATTTTTTACAACTTATATACGTTTTAGATTTACAACCTAAATTTTTGCATCTTCCAGCTTCTTTCTTATCCAGGAATACTGGTGTGTGTCCTATATCATCGAATTTCACATCTTAGCTGTTTAGTTTTTGGTGTTGAAGAAGATGGGGACGGACTATTACTAGGACGACCTCTTTTTTTATAATTGATTTACCTGATAATATTAATGGTTCAGGTACTGTCGAAAATGTATAAGGTCAAACATTTTTTTTTTGTGGTCTTAAAGATTTTGCTTCTTTTTTGTATTCCACCCACGAATTAACTGCAGCTATATCAATCCCATGCGTTATACGGCGTAATGTTCACTTCTACCTTCAAGTAATTTCATATCCTTATGACAATAAGTATCACCCAAATCATCTTCGTTAGCCAATTCCTCAATATCAGAGTCATCTGTCATGACTGTATGGTCAAAAAATGTGAAACTGCTGCATAACAATGCAACTCTATACCCACCATATAGTCTTGATCTGGTACCTTAAGATTTTTGTTTTGTTTGGTCCATTAAAAAAAACATGTAGGAAGAACTTATTTTTAAAATTAGGAGGAGGTCATTACTGAGTACTTCGATGGAAAATGTGCTACTTTTTCGAGTCACTCCATCGTTGAGAAAAATGCATGCATATGGTGACTATATAGAAAAATAGTAAAACATATCTTATTTATCATGTAAAAGTTTTAAATTAATAAAATCAGTTTTTCATTATTCAGTATATTTTTGTAACTTATTTATCGAACAGCTTACGTAGTTTTATTTGTATTGACGAAAAACAAATTTTGTGTCACTATATAAGCATTTGTTACGTTCAATGGTAGTTAATGTCATTTGCTCGTAAATTAAAGTTTAAAAAAATAATAAAAAAAAATTTCAAAAAATTTTACTTACCGCTATTCCATGATCATTTAAGTACACAAAATGACATATTTATAAAGACAATTTTACGGCCTTTAATTTTTGTTTTGTACTTTTCAGCTATAAGTTCAAAATTAAACAAGTTATAGTGTAAAATTGAAAAAAAGGGTACCTACGCACCCCCTTTTTAAGGGATGGAGAGCTATGCACAAGGGACATGTCTGGGGACCTTTAATAAGTCAATCAGTAAGCTATAGACTGATAGTGTACCAAAATTCATCTTTCGAGGAATTAGTTCCAATCTTTTTCCTAATTTAACTGAACTATTTACAGAATGTCCCGAAAAAAAAATTGTCTCAACTGACCACATTATTTATGTATTTTCTATAGTAAGAATAATACTGTATTTATGAACAAATGATATATGATGTGGTACTTGACTATTTAATATATATGTCTACTAGACTATTTCTATAAAAAAATATGCTATGAATAAAATGTTCTTGTATTATACAATTATAATTTATTTATTATTATATAATTAACTATTAATAATAAATAAGCATTGAACCATAAATTGAGAACCTTAAAACATTTCAATGAACTATTAAAGTGCAATTGAATACAATAAATGCAACCCGGTTAAAATCATTTTTCTATTTTTTTTTTTTTTTTTTTTATAAAATTATTTTTAAATAAGCATAGAGCACTGTGGGATTTAAGTAATAAAAATCACTCACAATTTAATTTAATTAAAATAGGCACTTTATTATATAAATATGTATGTACAAATATCGATACGCGTTACTATTGCGGAGGAATTGCCGAATATATCGCGGAGTGTAATTCACGGTGTGTCGCGGATTATACTCTCACGGACTGATTGATTGAGCGTCTGACCAGCCGGTATAAATATATCCGCGTCGATTATCTAGAACATTCTCGAAACGAAATAATCATCGCATATTCTAGAACATGGGATTTCCCCTTATCCACCGACAACATTGTAAACAACCCGGACGACTCGTGGCGCGTTGTTTACGTCACCACAGCACCATTAAAATATAACAAACGTTTAAAATAATTTTTAAGTTTTTGAAATATTTCGTGGGGGGGGGGGCTGTAGCCCACTATGCACTCCTCCTATATACGTCACTGCGACGTATTATGTTATCGTGTGCGGTTAGGTTAGCGATGGCGTGCCTACTGCACAAAAATAGCATTGATCTTAGAATATCTAAAAGGTTCATGAGGATCTATCTCCTATATTTTCCGCGGGTAGGTAGGTCCCATAGAGGGGCACCAATTTTTTTTTTGCGCCGGGGCGCAAAATGTTTAAATACGGCACTGAGTACAGTGCATTTTAGAATATTTTATTACTCTTCAATCATTAATTTAATTTTAAATAGGATTTTTGTAATATTTCGTTGTCTTTGCCAATTGGTTAATAATAACTGTAACATAATAATTGATAATTTTTAAAAGAAAATTATACTTAAAATAATATTCATATTTAATACCAATGAATGTATAAAATTAATCAGATATGTTTGTGGTTGCGTGAAATACGTTTTATATTGTACACATTCTTAAAATAGACTGAAATTGTGTCATTGTCTTTCGAGAAATAATTACAACAGTCACCTTATCCGAGTGTCAATCTTCTACATTGTAAACGTAATGTTTTTTTTTTTTTCTGACAATGCGTTAATGTATTATCTTTGTATAATATATTATATAGTTGTAGGTTCTATAGATACCTTATAAAAATGTGTTCGAAGTCGGGCCATTAATATCCAAGGACCAAGAGTGTAACAATAAATATCAGTCTGTCGCCCGTGTCAATTGTTGACTGTGCATTAAGATTAAAATACATGCAATTGCTTTGTCGTAAAATAACAAACTACATCGGAAGAATTAAAAATCATATTTGAGAAGGATACATAAATGTGTTTCAATTAGTATTTTAGGCGAGTCCGGGTTCAAAGAACTTACTTCGATTTCCATACTATTATTATTTATCCAACTAAAACATTTATACAAAATCATTTATACGGTGGTCAACTAGAGTGACATCAATAGCGTGTCTTATTGAATAAGCTGATAAACTCGGGAAAAATGTGGATAACGAACATTGAACGGCGGCGGCAATAGCATGAATAAATATTAGCCTTTTCCACCAATCGAAACGGGTAGTGGCGCATTCAATATAAACGCGCCCCGGGGCAAAATAATTTTTTCGCCCTTACCCCTTACAAAAAAAAAAAATATATATATATATATAAATAAATTCAAAGTTAAGTAATAAAAAATTAATTTTATGACACAAATTATATATCAGTTGTTTTGCGATATTGTATTAGATAATTTTATAGTAATACATATCCTAACGTTAACCTAATTTTTTTTTTCAGTGAATATTATCTTAAATATATTTATATATTAAATATAGAAAATGGAATCAGGAATTAATACAAAACACACTGTTTAAATAATTGACAGTCAACTGTTTGACAAGAATTATGTTCATATTCGCTAAACGGTCTAATTTTTTCGAATATTCAACGACAAAGTCGAAATAATAATATTTCTCTAAGTGCAGTGAATCAAAAATATTTCTACACCATATTAATATCAACATTTGCAAGCTTATGTTGTTATTTAACAGTCTTAAATGAACTGCTCTGAGTGCCTGCCCGTAAACGGAACCTCCTGTCAACAACCATTTACCAAATTCATTCGCTAAAGATCGTAAACAATTGTACTGCCCGTGGCGAGATTATCAATCTCTGTTCATCGGCATGTTCCGGTGTAACTTGACAGAATATTGATGAACACGAACAGCAGGACGATAATCTATTACAGTTAGAACCGTGTTAAGAGGGGGGTCAAAAGAGGCAATTGCCCCCGGGCACCGTAGTTTTTCAAAAGTGAGGGGGCGTCTTTATCTGCACTTAATATGCTACCTGTGCCCAGTGACCCCGTAGAAAAAATTTTGCCCGGGGCGCTGAAATGTTTGACACGGCTCTGATTACACTATAAGTACAACCTGTCGACGTCTCTCAACAATCGCATTATTACCGATGCACCGTGAATGCAGATCCAGATGCAATTTCTTGGTTTTGTTTCTTACAACGATAATTTCCGTCGGTCGGAGATGTACCGCCGCGACCGATGACAACACGCGGAACGTCTCCTTCCGGGCAGTGAAATATTATTGTTACTCTCTTACCAAACGTTTGATTGTCCGCGTTCTCGTCGTTTTTGTCACGCGTACGCGGCGTGCGGTCCACCCATAATCCACTATTATAGTCAGGGGCGGCTAGTTAGGGGAGACTTTGAGACTGCGTCTCTCTTTAAAAAAAAAAAAAAACCAGTTACTTGTTAATAATTACTATTTAAAAATGTATGGATATATTTTTATTTTTATTGAAAATATGTTTTAGCGTTTTCTATATTTATTTTTATAAATTTAAGGCCGCATAATATAAAATCTTTAGTTATTTCAATGGAAACACCACTATTTTAGTAAGTTCGACGGCGGTCGTCATTTCAGTGAAACTGACGTCCGACAGGTTCAATCGTAACATATGTAATGGTTCGGCTTGTTGGACAGAGAGGGCCGGGGAGAATAAATCGGCGCATATTAGACGCTATTGAAAGTGGGTACACGACAATAATTCCCGTGCCACCGTGCCAGTCACCGTAAGCCGTCCCTGCGAATTCGCCGATAAAATATAAAAAAATGCAGAGTTGAATTAGTTATTCATTAATAGATGTACGACTGAATTAAGTTGAAAATATTATAACTGAACATTAAAGTATGTGTTCATTTACCGATAAAAGAGGTTTTCTTGTTCGTTGATGCACGGAGTTTATGTTAAATAATTTAAGTCTGCCCAGAATATTTACGACGAGCCGCTACTGCATATGATAAACGTTTGACGTCTAATTCGCGTGTCCGGCGACGGCGATAACCTCCGGACGGATCGGGGCGGCGGCGCGATTAAAGAAAACCAGGGGTTCTCCGCGTTCGTATCAATCGCCGCACGGACGCGTCAACGAGACAATATATATATATATATGTTGTCGCGCGAAACGTTTCCCGTCGTCCGTTGACATTATCGAAACGAAACGAACTCCGTCGAACGGCAACGGGATTTCCATTGCGGTCGGAAACTAACGACCCGGCTCGGCCAACCGGCACCGCACACTTATCGACAAACGCCATTCCATCCGTCCGTCTGAAGAGAAAAATAAAAAAAAAATAGGGTTCCGCCGCGTACGTCCGTTTTCCGTATCGTTCCGTGATAAGGAGTGCGTCGTCGCGGTGCTGCTGTTCCGGCGCGGCGGCGAACGGTTGCGCGCAAAACGCGTTCGATCGCGATTCGATTGTGGCGGTGCTGCGTGCACCGGCGACCCGTGACACTGATAAGAACGCGTCGTCCGGACGCGCAATTAGTGATCGTCCGAATGAGCTGGTGCCCTGCCGATCGCCATTCCCGCACCGTGTTCCCCGCGGTCCGGAAGACGTAGTGCTGCCGCGGACATGTTGTCGCAGTCCGGTCACCGTTGAACGCGTCAAAACGATGGTCCCGTTGCTGCTACCGCTGCTGCTGGTGCTGCTGCGCGCCGGCCGCTCGGCCGCGTTCGGCTCGCTGCTAGCCGAACCGTCGTGCGTCAACGATCTGAAGCTGAAATGTTCCAACGGCGGCACGGCTGCCGTGTCGGAACTCGACGTGCTGGAGTGTATACAGCTCTACGAGGTAATCGAGTCTTCGCGTTCGCTCCGCGCTTGACCAAGTGTACGATTGACTCTTGCCCTCAAAACGTCACTTTTCGGTTGAATGGTTGAGGTCAACGCACACATTGCCATCTGTTCGCTGTACCTCTCCCTCAAACCAAATGTGTGCGCGACCGAGTGCAGAATAATCTCAAATTATTTAAATGTTTTGTTCTGTGCATTGATCGTGGTTTCTCTTGGTGTCCCTTTCAATGTATTATTGTACATTTTCTGGATTCTGAGTTAAAATGAAAATACATTGTTTTACTTAAATCTGTTGAACAGTTAATTAAGTTAATACCTACATTCATCGCTCCTCTTAAATATGCCATTGTATGTTTACATACAAGCAATTTCCCGCGCAGCTTAGATAAATTTATTCAATATTTAATGAATACTTAAAAAAAAAAGTTTAAAAACATATGCAGTATTTATTTAAAAAATAAGTATTTAAAATATTTACTGTTCTACTGTCCTTAGTGTAATAACCAGTACAAATTAAATTGAAAGTTTAAAAACTGTTTTCGTACCTAATTGTAATCATACCTCAATTTATTACCATACAATATTTTTTAGGATTCAGAGTTTTCGGTCAGTTGCCAAAGAACCATATGGACTCATTTAAAAAAATTTATGGCAAAAGAAAATCTACGCGCTGTATTAAAGCCAAAATGTAGATCTGAAATTGAAAAATCAAATTGTGAACGAGATAAGAATTGGTTTGGTTGTTTGGTTGATAAAAAACAAAGCATTGTCAAAAATTCCGACTGCCTTCATTTGATATTAAGAGTAGAAAATATACTATTCTCTGATTTTAGACTCATTTCAAATTTTTCAATTGTTTGCCAAGATGACATAAAGAAATTTCATTGTTTTGATAATTCAGTCACAGATGTAAGTATTAGAAGTAATTAAATAACTATTTCTATCACCTAAGTAACTATCCGTGTTAATTATTTTGCAGGCATTGTATCGAGGACACATATTAGGATGTTTGCAATCTAAGATTGACAAACTTTCTCCAAAACAATGTTTGCCGTTGGTTTATAAGTTGTCTGAGTGGCAAGCAGAAAATATCAAATTTGACTATTCACTACACATGGCTTGTTTAAAAGATAAAGAGAAATTGTGTGCAGATGTCGCAACTGGAAATGGTCTTGTTTACAATTGTCTTTCCAAACATATTGGTAGTGGACAAATGTCGCAACCGGTAATTTTTTTTTAATGAAATAATATTTATTACAATATAATTTTTTCTATATTCTGTTCATTGTTATAGTGCCAAAATCAATTATGGAGGAGAGAAAAATTAATTACTGGTAATATTAGAGTCAGTAAAGGACTAACTAGGGCATGCAGAGAAGATATTCGTAAATACCATTGTCGGAAATTAGTATCCGATGATAAGGATGTTCGCTTAGCGCAGCTTTTGTTATGTTTGGAAAATGCTTTACATAATGGTAAAGTTGTTTACTTTAATTATTGAACTATTTTACTGAAACTAATTTTTCAGGAAGTGAAGTATCTTCAGACTGTCAATTTGAACTAATGGAACATCGAAAGTTATTATTACAAAATCATCATTTATCACCAGAAGTTGTTTCTATGTGTTCAAATGATATCGAAAAATATTGCCAAAATAATAAAATCGGTAGTCGCACAATTCATTGTTTAATGGACCATTCTAAGCCATCACGTCAAAAAAATCGAATTGAAAAATCTTGCCAGAAAGCGGTTTGTTATTTACTTTTAAGAAAATTGTTCTTTTTAATTTTTAATAATTAAATATTAATCACTTTAGTTACAAAAACTCATGCGAATCACAAATATTGGTGAAGATTGGAGAGTAGATCCTGTAGTACAAGAAATGTGCCAATCTGAAGTTGATAAGTATTGTTCTGATAGATCGCCTGGTTATAACAGGTAACTACCAATATTGATAAATGAATAATATTACTTATATTGTGTACTAAAAGAATTTTCATTAATCTAGGGTAATGTCTTGTTTATTGGAAAAATTAATTGTGGGATTAGTTCAAGACGATTGTAAGAATGCATTAATGCCAGTTCAGTATTTTATCAATCGTGATTTCACATTGGATCCTGCATTATATCAAGCTTGTTATTCAGATGCATCTAGGATATGTAAAGCTTCCAATGATTGGCTCAAAGAATCAAAGGAAAATTTGATTTTACCATGTCTTGCTCAATACTACAGGCCTTTTACATCATCAACTACTGGAGCTAAATACAAGGTTATTATCAACAAGATTAAATAAATGTAAAAGCATCTAAACTAAAATGGTTTTATTAAAATATTTTTGTTATTATGATAGCTAAAACCAAAATGTAAAGATCAAGTTCGAAAAGTGATGATACAACGAGCTATTAGTGTTGATCTCAATCCAGAGATTGCTGAGGCCTGCATTAAAGACCTGCCAAATTTTTGTCATGAAAAAACTGGTGTAGGTGAAGAAATGCTGTGCCTACAAGATAATTTTAACAAGTAATCATTTTATTATTCATAAATTACTTATTTTAGTAATGGTTTAATCAAAATATAAATTATTTTAGTAAAAAAATGACCAAAGAATGCAGAGAATCAATTAGTCGATGGACAGAAGTACAAGCTGAAGATATTCAGTTGAATCCTGTAGTTAGATTACATTGTAAACCTTTCATACAAAAATTTTGTTCGGTAAATTCATTAAATTTATTTTTAATAAAGACAATAACAACAAAGTTATTTTTAATTATTTTACTTTTAATTTATCATACTTAATTTTATGCTTTAGGTTGAACTTATATCTAAAGATGATATAGGGAAAAATGATGTAATGGACTGTCTAATAAAAAATAAAAATGATCCAGAAATGAAGACTGAGTTAAAGTGCCGTGCTGCTGTTGAACATTTTCAATTGATATCTATGAATGATTATCGTTTTACTTTATCATTTAAAGAAGCATGTCGCTCAACTGTTATTAGATATTGTCCTAAATCTCGAACTAAACCAGAGGTATGTACAATTTAATTATAAAAGGTAAAAATCAAATTAAAATTTATTATATCTGTAAAGAGCGTATGTTAACTCCCCTAAAAATATTTTGCTTCTCAATTACATATATGTACATAAATCCCCTGAAAACATGTTGTTACTAAATTTCATGTATATAAGCTTCTCTAAACTTAAAATTTAAACTGCCCTATTACAAACTTCTATTTAACCTCATTTTATGTTTAACAAAATATTTTTGCTAACCTTGGTCTTCATTGTAAATCATGAGTAAATTCCTCTGTACAACGAATATGTTTCTATATAATGAATAAACTATTCAAAAATAATCCGGATTTTTGTAGAACATACTAATACATTATGCTACTATAAAATATGAAATATTGTTTTAAAACCCTACAATTTGAAAAGGTGGACCATACCATAAGCATTCATAATAAATATACGCAAAGGTACGCAAAAATATGGCATAAATTATTAAAACTAGTAATAGAAAATTATAAACAACAAATAATTATCAAGTTCCAGTATGTGAAATCAATTTCACATTATTACTCATTCAAACATTAATATCACAAAATAAACAAGAACTATTGATGATTAAAATAAAAAATTATATCATGATATAGCTACAAGTATCCAAATTAAAAATACTAATACAAGAAAAAACAATTATTGGAGAACAATGGAACTGCCTCTACGTGGTGTGCTCTGGGAAACGTCAAATGGTTCTAATATAAAAATATGAATACCTAATATAATATAATATAATTAGCATAAATTCAACAGCAATATGTTTCAGGGGTATTTACAATGTTTATATACGTATAATGCAGTAAGAAAATGGTTTTAGGGAAATTTACTATTGTACTTTTTAGGGGAGTTTACAATTGAAGCGCTCGGCTAAAGAACAGGACAAGCGCAAGTTTCGGCAATATTGTGTTTATCGGTGGAATATCGGGGTACGGGTACAATTTATTGTAATGTTCACTATGGCATTGAAATTACAATAAAATTAATTAAAAGGCAATATTAAGTTTAGTTTTAAGTCGTGAAAATTGTCCGTAATATTGTAAACGTCTCCATTGTAAAATGCGCTCAGTGGCACTTGTCCCGTTGTTCAGCCAAGCGCTTCAATTACCCATCTCTAAATATCTATGAAATATATGAGTACTCCATTTTTTTATTTTAGGTTGTTGCTTGTTTAAGTGAAGTAGTACGAAACGATACTATTACAGATTCTAAACATAAAGTAACAAAACCATGTAGACAACAACTTAGAGCTCAATTATTACAACAGCGTGAATATTTAGAATTAGATCCGGTTTTAAAAAAAGCATGTCAAAATGATATTATCAAACATTGTTCTGGCATGGAATCTGGTTCAGCACAGGTAATGGATATTATCTTTAAAATAAAAACCAAACAATAAAATAATATATATTTTGATATCTTAGATTCTCGTATGTCTTGAAATGAATAAAAGCTTACTCTCGGACCAATGTCACCATGTAATATTTCTGATTCAGCGACAAGATTTAACAGACAGCTCTTCTGATTATGTATTGTTGACAAAATGTCATAAAATGTTACAACTTTATTGTAAAGAAGAAAATTCTTCAAGAGCTTTAAGCTGTTTAAAGGTATTTAGATAAAGATTTCTTACAGTTCATAGTGGTATTTTTTATATAATACTTTAATATGTAGGTATGTTTTAAACTTTTGAAACCTACCTACATATTCAAAAGTATGATCTTATCTTTCCGTGTACTAAATAATTGATAAAATGTTTTACTTTATCAAACTAATAACAAATAATGTATGTACAAGTATGAGGAATTGATAAAAAAATTTGAAACATATTGTTTGTATTAGTCGAAAACATAGAGTATTAAAAATAAAATAAAATATTGAGCATCCCTACAATAATTATTAACGATTTTTACTGTTTGTATATTATATTCAAGTGTAATCTGTTAACAGAAATTCAAACATGATTCGTCCTTTGAAAAACCATGCCAGTCACTTGTTATTCAACGAATGATTGAACAAAGTGATGACTATAGATTGGATCCAGCTCTCCATCACAACTGTCAAACAGATATACAATTATATTGTAGTCAAATATTAGCTAAATTACGTCCAGAGTCTGAGTATAATGGAAAAGTATTGCACTGTTTAAAGGTCAGCATATTTATATTTTTATTAATTATATTGTAATTAAATTATGAAAGTAAATTTTTTAGGAAAAATTTCGGCAAAGAAAACTAAAACCCGAATGTGAGAAACAAGTATCAATTACACTCCGTGAAGCTGCATTAAATTACAAATTGAATCCATTGTTGCGTAGTCTCTGCACATCTGAGGTATTTTGAAAGTATTTATGATGCAATATTCCATCATAAGTTGAACTTTACTATTGATGTTGTAAAGTAAAAATGTATTTTAATTAATTTGTTCATGTCAATAGATTAAAGAATTATGTCGTAAAGAAGAAAATAATGAAAGCAATGGTGGTATAGAAAATTCTGGACAAGTGGAAGAGTGCTTGAAACAAGCCTTAAGTCATGGTTCAATAGAGAACCGAGCTTGTCGTTTAGAAGTGGCCGGTTTGATTGAAGAATCTAAGGCTGATATAAATGTAGATCCATTATTACAACGAGCATGTCTGCTAGACATTACAAAGTACTGTGATGAAGTTCCTGAAGGCGCTGGTAGACGTGAGTTTCTTTATATTAGGTTATACACAAATTATGTAATTTACTAAATCATCTGTAAACCATTATTTTTTTTTTATTTCAAATCAGATTTACAATGTCTACAAGCTGTGGTTGAATCAAAAACTAAGACACTTCATCCCAAGTGCCACGAAATGCTTATGCAGAGGATGGAAATGTTTAAGAATGCAAAAGCCTTGGTTAGGAAAATATTTTTTATTCTTAAAGTTAATATTAAATTATAATTTAATTCGAATCAAGTTACAATAATTCAAAACTAAAAAGAACTATAAAATAGTTGAATAATCTAGAATTAAGAATAATTAAAGTTTGAGTTATTGCAACTAGATTGTCATTCTAGTTAAACTATTAATATATTGAATGTTATAGATTTACCCTGAGAGCATACAGCAGTTGTATGGACAAGTTACTAAATCACCATCGAAAAAATACCTTTTAGTGGTGTTGATCACGATCATGGGACTAATATTCTTTGTCGGTTTGTTTTGTGGTCGTGTTAGTAGAAGAAGTGCAATTTCTAAAAAAAAGTAGATGATATGTTATCATTGGTATCAACTTAAACTGATAGTTAGTTTAATTTTATTTAAAAGAAATGATTTTGTGAATTTTTTCTTTTTATATCTGTATTCATAGAATTGTTATTTTATGTACTTGTTACAACCGGTTCGTAAAATTACCAGTTTTTGTCTGAGATGATTATTTTTATTCATTTCATGTAAGAGACAGTACTTGCACAATTTATAAAATGAAAAATGAAAAATGCTGCCTATTTCATGAACTGTGTCTTAGACAATTCGCAATTATCAATATAATATCTTACATTGAATGTATACATTGTAATTCACAAACTAATTTAGTCTACCTCCGTAACTAATTCAATAAGATATCAATACAAAAATATTAATAACTATATATTATAGCATTCTAATATTGAAGAAATAAATTAAGATGCCACTTTTATGACTTATATTATTGGTTGTTAATTGGTTGTGTACAAGATGAGATAAAACCATAATCATTTATAGCAATATTTATTAGTTTACATAAAATTACCTTAAACTTATTATCTAAATATTTATTAGGTTTAATAGGTGTTATTATGGATTTACCTTGGCTCTTAGCAGTCCTAGACTTTAGGGGGGGACAGAGTACCTTAACTAATATTCAGAAATTTTAGCATCCCCCTACTATTATTACGTTATAATTATAACACTTAACAAGTCTTAACAAGTCACTTAACAATGCTATTTTTTTAAATTAGACAGATTCTCCCTTCTTTGATTTTGCCAAATCAAGCACTGGCTCTTATGAAAAACAAAAATTATGTTAAGAACCAAAGTAAATATGGTGAAATAAAGAAATTTAAGACTAGGGATAGATGAATGTAATAAAAGTTATACTAATTAATTTTTAATGCTTTATGGACACTTGGCTCTGCTAGTATGTTAAATTGACAACCTATTTGCTCAAACCAATCGTTTAAAATCCATTCATGTATTAGTTATGTTAACATAGCACTGTACATAATAAAACAATGTAGTTATTAATTTTTATTTGATTTGAATTTCTTATAAAAAAAAAAAGTTAATGCAAGTATTGAACTTAAAATAGCTCTGTAAAAAATATTGCACATACAAGTATTGCAACTAACAATTGTAATTCAAATTAGTATAATTTTTAATTTGTTTACTTTCTGTATTTTTATCATATTTTTTTTAAAATTAATTGATAATATTTTATACATTTTTTTATTATAAATAATTTATTATTTTGTTGATTATTAGATAATACTGCAACAATTACTACTTTAAACTTGAAATACTTAATTTTAGCCATAGATTTGTTGACTTACTATGAATCATGTGTAGATACCTAATATGTAATTTACGTTACAAGTTATTAGAGTTTATTATTTTATAACAATTGAAATCATTAAAAATAATTTTCTGAGTACTAGAATTTGCCCATTTCATGAAATTAACGCTTTTTTAAATACAACATTGATGAAATGGATAAGAAATTGGTTATTTAACGAACCGAGTGTAACATATCCCTAATGTTAGGTACATTAATGTTAACTATTATAATAGTAATGATTTTAATATTTTGATACAACGAAAAAAGATCATTAATTCAGTGTAAATTGTAAATTTGATAAATTTGTAATAGTGTAATGTACTATATTACTCTTTATTGATAAAACGTGCTATATAAATCCAACAAATGAAGTTATGATAAATTTACATATTATGCTTTTAAATAGATCTATATTATAAATTATAACTTTTTCCAAATATATATCCACATATATACTATATGCGGGTATATAATTCACAAACCTGAGTAATGAAACTTAAATAAGAAGACTATTTTATATTTTATTTCCATACAATATACTTACTTTTGGTCCATTTTTTCATGTTTTTTCAGGTCATTAATTACACACCCATTGTGTCCGTAAACTAATTATTAAACTCCGTCCAACTGTTGGAAATGTCGTGTTTGGTATTTACCAATTTTGCGATCAAAAGTTCATCTTCATCGATATTGTAATTTTTTAATTTCATAATTTACGACCAAGAATCCTATCTATTTTCAAGAAAAGGTGATACATCATCACTAAAATCGATTCTTTAGGCTTTTCAATATATTATTTTTAGTATATATAATAAATATGCGACATACAGCTTTAGTTAATAGATTTTTGTGATATTTTAGTTAGACATTTAAGAATAAAAAGCATCTGAATACTTAGTATAAAACCGTGAAAAATTTTTATCCTTTTTAAATCATCAATAATTTGCATTTGATTTTCTATGAAGAATTTGCTTTATATGACAATTTTATTTATATAATTCTATATATTTGATATTAATTCGAAGAAATTAAGTTAATGGCAATTTTTGTTTTGCGCTTTAAGTACAAATGTTCCGGTGCGCGAATTGTTCTACAATTAAACAAAAAAAGTATTCTTAAATTCTAAATAGTTTTTTAATTTCTCTGATTATCAAACATGCAAATAATTTATAATTATTTATTAATACTTGCATAATATGTCTATAATAGTCTTCGGCTGGGGTTTCGATCTGCTGCTCGTCTTGTATTTATTTTTATATTTCAATCAAATGTGAACGGTTCTAAGTCATCTCTTTGATATAAAATGCAGAGTGCTTAATTTAAGACTTATGCTTAAGCTATATTTGTGTTTAAATTATATGTAAAATATTCCATTAAAAATATATATATATATATTAATTATTTATTATTTCAAATTAAAACTATTCAATATGTTGTAATAATCCTAAATAAATAATTTGTGTTTTTGAAATTGAGTAATGTATGTTATTATAAAAAAAAATTGAATTAGTGTTTAAAATACTAATTTATATTACGAATGCGATCCACGGTATTATTTAAAAATAATAATTAATTGTAAAAACAATAGCAAATATGGGAAAGATGAATAATAATTATTTTTACTCGTTTGATTAAGTTAATTTTGAGAAATATAAGTAAAGTTTAAAGTTCCTTCTATTTTTATTAACTTTTTATTAACACGTATAGAAAAAGAGCGAGACTCATAAGTTGGACGAAACTTCACGGTCAGGAAGAGATAGGTAAATGGTTTTGCTAATTTTGATTTTTTAAATTTGAAATCAATGTACCATGGCTCTCAAAAAAAAAAAAAACGATTCTGAATGTAAGTGATCGGGTGTCCAGAAATAATGCAATTAACAATACATCAAATAATTATCACTTCCGAAATTATAATTTCGATAATTTGTTGACAAACAAAATTTTTAATCTTCAGAATTGAATTAGAAAAAAATGCAATTAACATAACAACTATACAATTACATAGTTAATATATAATGAACTGATTAGTATCATAGAAAACAATTAAACTCGAAACTCAAATTTAAAGTTGTTTAAAAAAATAATTACATCGTTGGGTATTTTAACTATGCTTTTTACTAAGTAATAACTTTATAATTCTTTTGTTAAACAACGAATTCTTTAAACACCAAATCCACATGTTGTAGTACCTACCTATCCGTTTTGGTTTTGATTTTATTCAGCTGTTGATTAGATTTGTCTTAGATAAATGTTATATTAATAAATGTGCACTCTAACTGAGTAACCGTTCATCTAAATAAACAAATAAACATTGTCGTGGTAACATATTTTTTAATCGATTGGATTTTAGTCTCTTTATCTTGTCTTTAATTATCAGTAGCGGTTCGTAGTAAATATTTTGAGGATACTTCAATTATTTAACATAAAATCCATACAACAATGAACAAAAAAAAACCCCTTTTATTGGAAAATTAATTATATTTAATACTTAATTTAATTAAATTGTAAGTTTTTTTATAAACTAATTCAATTCTGCAATGTTTTTTATCTGCGAATTCGCAGATGTCGGTGTACAGCGACTAACTACGCATAGTGGTCTGAAAATTAAAATAGTTGGCCAAAAATTATTTTTTTGAATTTAAAAAAATTAACATTTTTCTCTTGTATATATTTTCTACAGAACTTATTTTACAGGTACACAACCGTACATCAATAATGGCATAATGTATTTATATTCATGGACAAATAAAACATTTAAGTAGATAAAAGGAATATATTATTTTAACAAAAACTGAGATTTTTGGTTCGTAATCATCTTATAATTAAATTGTACCCAGTTTCAATAGCGTCTATAATACGCGGATCATTCTCCCCACCCCCTCCGTCCAACAAGCCAAACCATTACATGTTACGATTGAATTTGTCGGATGTCATGTATTTAGGTTATTGCCTGTTTGCTACAACAATGAAATAACACGAAAAACATGATTTTACACAAAACGCATTTGAAAATTTTATTTGCAATGATATGATGGCAACTCAATAACTTCCATCTAGCGGCTAATTTTTGTATAATCATTTATTTCGTTCTTGCAGTATAAAGAAAAGTACCAACTCAATTATGAGTTGGGGGCAGTTGTCCGAAAAATGATAAGGATTGGAATCGAAAGACGGCGGCATAAAATGTGTTGTTAACATAAAATTACTAAAAATTATATTATAAAATTATTTTTTTGTTTAAGAAGTTATACTGTTTCATTTGAATGATAATTTATTTTTTGACAATAATAACATAATTAGTTATATATAAAATAAACATAGGTATTAATTATATGAAATAATTATACATTTTTGAATACTTATTTTTTACTATATACTTAAAACTAAAACATGTAATATTTTCTACTATTTACATACTAGTATATAGAAAATTAAAAAAAAATGATGAAAAATATATATATTTTTCGAAAGGTTCACATAAAATTAAATATTAAGCTAGATATTTATAAACATACATGATATATTACATAGAATTATAACATGGATATGTTTTTTTGATGAATATTAAGAAAAATTGCAAGAACAGAAAATAATTACCCTTCTCTAATTACATTGGTTACTAAAATAATACAAGTCAAAGTTTCAACTCGAAAACATATCCATGATTTAATGTTATACCTACATAATTATATGTTACCATAGCTGTTTAAAATTTGGTCCATTTTTATTGAAAATATGCAAACAAAAAAGTAAAAAAAGAATAAAAAGTTTTGTTGAAAATATTCAAACAAAAAAAATGAAAAAAATTAAAATTTTTGTTGAAAACAGTATAAACTATTAGTATTTTTCCCGCTTTGAAAATCGGGGAAATTTGTATAACTTTTATCAATAGAAATTAAGTAATTGGATTTGGTAATTTTCGATTTAGTCAGTTGGTACTGCTTTTTCAAATTTCGGACCTTATCATTTCTTA